TTTCCGAAGCCGCATTATTAAAATAGCATGTCTGTCGGTTTTCGCGGGACATGGTATGATTGGAACCCATATTTTTGATTCCTGAAAAGTAAGCCACGTCTTCTTGGAGGGTGCCTGAGAGCGCTATGTGTGGCACTGTGTCTGAAACTTAAGTGTTTCTTGGTGTTTTTAGCCCCAAAACATTTCGTTCTCCACAAATACACACTGGAAAGAATGTAAAAAGTTGTTCTCTGTGAACGACGTCAGATGGAGGCAAGCTGTTCCTGCAACTTCGACAGCAACGCGTGCCACACTCACGACTGAATGAGGGATACTGCTTGCGAGTTACTGCCGAACCTCTCTGCCATTTCACACACAATCCTTCCTTGCAATGCATTCAGTGCCCAGGCCTGTTGCTGCTCAACAGCACATGTTTAACCCACCTACCGCCCAACGACACCGACACGCCCACACGCCGGGCCCGAGCCCGCACCCAAAACGACAGCGTCACTTGACGGACCGGGGAGGGAAATCATTGTGACACCAGAAAATTTGATACGAAAGTTTATGATGTCACACGTACATGAGCCTCTGAACATAGAGTGAAGGAATAATATATTAATGAACAAATTATTTTTATTCTTTTTAAATGGTACTTTTATTAAATTTGCATTTGATACTATCAAAAAATGACTATTGTATAGAACGTATAATAGTGACGTCAAACACCAATCCCAAACACACGCTCGGACACGCGAAAACCACGGCTCCGTGAGTCTCCGGCTCTGAGAGGATTTAGCATTGGAGACAAGACGTATTCTCCACCAGGAAATCCGGGCTGATTACATGATGAAAATACATAAAAGGGCTCTCCAACAAAAGCGTGGAATTTGTTCTATCGATCGACAGAGCGCCGCCGCAGAATCGTGATCTGAGTATAAAGCTAAAGCAGAGTTTCTTGTTCTCCGTTGAGCAGAGCTTTAAGTGGTGCATGAATGTCACCTAAAAAAACCTAAATGATCATATGATCCTTTAGGTTTTTTGAGATCTACCTTTTGTTTTAGCGGGGTTTTTCCATCCAATATTTTTCCCAAATCAATAACGTCCTAAAAAGCTACACAAAAACCGATAAATAACCTACAGGAGCTCCGTCGTTGAAGACTGCTATTGCGTGCGCGCCATTCATGTAGCCTACCGACATTATTTCGGAGGAACTGCGCGGCATTGAACTGCGCGAGGAGAGGTGGTATGGAGGCTGGTTGGTGGTGCAGGTAAAGGCAATATAAAAAGTTAGCTCATTGTCATACACTGAGCAAAGTATTGGGACCAAACATTGAATCAGACTTAATGCCAGCGAGCAGATGTAGTGACGCTTACTTGACGCGGCTGGATTGCGCTGTGAGGAGGAAATAATTCCTCTGCCCCTGCTGCGTTGGCATTCGAGCTCCGATCACGCAGCAGCCTGACGTCTCAGGTGGCGTAGTTTTGTGCATAGATTTGTGGGGTGGGTGAGCAGAGAATTCTTGCTTATTTTTACTTTGGTACCTGCACGGCCGCCGGAGGAGAGCTAGGCTGGCTGCAGGGTTCGTGTACTGTCGTACTGGGGAAATGCTGTGAGGCGTCAGCTGACATTGTGACGTCACTGAAAATGGTTTTGCATCGATCGGGGTTCTTTTGGGCCGACTGAAGGCCATAAGGCATTTGCTGGCAATATGATGTCACTGGTATTCGACTGGGTATATGACATCACTGGTCGTGAGGCTTTAGGGGTCTTTCGGGTCAAATGAATGCCGTAGGGCATCACCTGACGACATACCGTCACTGGTATCCGATTAAACATCATGCGCAACAGGCCTCATTCCATCTTTACCTTTCGTACCTATCTGTTGCAAGCATTTTTATGCCGAATAAAGGTTTGACTGAATCACCTTAATGTGTGATGTCACTAATTATCACTTGTACGAGTGCACCTAGGCCCCACGGCCTCGGTGTATCATGTTCCGTGAAGTGTCATCGGATAGCGTGACGTCAGTGACATTCGACTAAATATTGGTCGCGGCAGGCCATGCTTCATTTTTACCTTTGTACCAGTCTACTGCAAGCGCTGGCATGCTGAATGAAAGTTACCAAATCGCCTGGGTGTGTGACGTCACTGGTCATGAGTTTCATCGGTGTTTTTGGGCCCACTGAAGACGACATGGGTGTCAGCCAAGGACATCACTGCTATACGACTGATTGCGTGACGTCAATGGTCGTGGGTTTTCACGGGCTTTTTCGGACCGGCTGAATGCCGTAAGGCATCAGCTGACGATATGACGTCACGGATATTTGGCTGAACATCAGGCAGCAGGCCATGCTTCATCTATACCTTTCGCACCTGTCTCCTGCAAGTATTGGCGTGCTGAAGGGAGGCTCTGCCAAATGACCTGTGTATGTGCGACGTCACTAGTCATGAGTTTTTATGGATTTTTGGGGGCCAACTGAAGGCCATAAAACATAAGCTAATAATATGACATCACTGGCATTCGACTGTGTGTGATGTCACTGGTCATGAGATTGGACGGCCTCTTTTTGGCGTACGAAAGGTCATACGGCATTAACTGACGGTGTGACGTCACTGGTGTTCGAATAAACTTCAGGCGCGACAGGCCATGCTCCACCTTTACCTTTGGTACCTGTCGATTGCAATGATCAGCATGCTGAAGGAAGGCTCTGCCGAATTACCTCAGTTTGTAACGTCACTGACCATTGATTTTATAGACTGTTTTGAACCCACTATAGGGCATACCACATCAGCTCACCATATGACGTCACTGGTGTTCGACTAGACATCATGCGTAACAGGCCATGTTTTATCTGTACCTTTCGTACCCGTCTACTGCAAGCATTCGCGTGCTATATCAAGGCGGTGCTGAACCATCTGAGTGTGTGACGTCACCGGCCATGAGTTTATACAGGTGCGCTTGGGCCGCCCAATGTGACAAAGCATCATATCCCGTGAAGCATCGCGGGATGATATGATGTCACTGGTATTCCACTCAATATCAAGCGCAATGTTCCATGTAACATCTTTACCTTTCGTACCCGTCGTTTACAAGCATTGGCATGCTGAATGGAAGACTGTCGGATCTCCTGAGTGTGTAACGTCACTGGTTAAGAGTTGTTATGGGCTTTTTCAACCCGCTATATGGTATAATGCATCAGCTGACGATAGGACGTCACTGGTATTTGACTTAACCTCGGCGCAACAGGCCATGCTCCATCTTTACTTGACTACTGCAAGCATTCACGTGCTATATGAAGGCTTTGGCGATTCACCTGAGTATTTACCCACGCTCAGGAGACTCGACAGAGCCTTAATTCAGCACGTCAATTCTTGCAATAGACAGGTGCGAATTGTAAAGATAGAACATGGCCTGTTGCGCTGATGTTGAGTCGGACACCAGTGACGTCATATCGTCAGCTGATGCGTTATGCCGCATGGGGGCTTGAAATGAGCCCGTAAAAACTCTTGACCAGTGACGTTACGCACTCAGGAGACTCGACAGAGCCTTCATTCAGCACGCCAATACTTGCAATAGACGGGTACGAAAGGTAAAGATGGAACATCTCCTGTTGCGCATGATGTCTAGTCGAAACCCAGTGACATCATATCGTCAGCTGATGTCTTGTAGCCTATAGTGGGTTCAAAAGAGTATACAAATTAATGGTCAGTGACGTTACACACTCAGGTAATTCGGCAGAGCCTTCCTTCAGCCCGCCAATGCTTGCAGTGGACAAGTACCAAAGGTAAAGGTGGCCTGTCGCGCCTGAAGTTTATTCGAATAACAGTGGCGTCACATCGTCAGTTAATGCCGTATGACCTTTCATCGGCCCAAAAGAGGCCGTAAAAGTCTCATGACCAGTGACATCACGCACAGTCGAATGCCAGTGACGTCACATCGTTAGCTGATGCTTTATGGTCTTTAGTTGGCCGCAAAAAATCCGCCGATACTTGCAGTAGACATGTACGAAAGGTATAACTGGAGCATGGCCTGTTGCCTGATGTTCAGCGGAATACCAGTGACGTCATATCGCCAGCTGATGCCTTACGGCATTTCGTCGGTCCTAAAGGGCCCGTGAAAACCCACTACTATTGACGTCTTACAATCAGTCGTATGGCTGTGACGTCGTTAGCTGACACTTTGTGGCCTTTAGTGGGCCTAAAAGCACCGGTAAAACTCATGACCAGTGACGTCACACACTCAGGTGGTTCGGCAGCTTTCATCCAGCACGCCAATGCCTGCGGTAGACAGGTACAAAGGTAAAAATGAAGCACGGCCTGTTGCGCCCAGTATTTATTCGAATACCAGTGACGTCACCCTATCCGGTGATACGTCGCGGACCATGACACACCGTGGCCGCGGGGCCTAAGTGCACTCGTGTGAAGGGATGATTAGTGACGTCACACATTGAGGCGATTCGGTGAAACCTTTATACGGCACGCAAATGCTTGCAGCAGACAGGTACGAAAAGTAAGATGGAACGAGGCCGGTCGCGCCTGATGTTTAATCGAATACCAGTTACGACACATCGTCAGCTGATGTCTTACGGCATTCAGTGGGCCCAGAACAGTCTTAAAACTCACCACCAGTAACGTCACATACCCAGCCGAATATCAGTGACATCATATCACTAGCAAAAGCCTTATGGCCTTCAGTCGGCCCAAAAGAGCCCCGATCCTGATCGATGCAAAACCATTTTCAGTGACGTCACAATGGCAGCGGATGCTTCACAGCATTTCCCCAGTATGACAGTACTCGAAACCCTGCAGCCAGCGTGCTCTTCCCTCCGTCGGCCGTACGGGTACAAAAGTAAAAAATTAGTAAATTTTATCCCCAAAAATGATGCAAACCATGTTCTCCCTGATTTTGACCAGGTTTTTGTTCTCAAAGTTTGAGAGGGGCTAGCATCCTATCAAACTAAATTGAGAACTGCACACTTGTTCCCAAATTAAGTACATCTAGGTCAGTTAAAGCCTGGGCAGGTGTCATATTGCCCAAAATCTTTCCTCCAGGTGAGAAAGATTGTACCTCAGCTAGAATGTAGCTGTGCTAAATACCATGCTCCAGATGCTCCAATTTATGGTGTAGCTTGCATGACATTTCAATCACAAAGTTAGCATTATGTGCTCTGAGGAATGGTGCAACAGATGCACAACAACACAAATTTACTTGGGTTATTTTGTTCTCACTACAAGCTGTGATTTTAATATTTTTGTTCTCTCCCCCAACAGCCAAAACCAAAATTCAGATGCTGGTGTGGTACCCATGAATACTCATGCTAATGTTTCTTGTTAGCTGTGACCATTATATCTTAATTTGGGCTGGCCCATTGACCATTCACTTTGCTCGGGTCCAACCCGGATGCAGTGGTTTTGCCAAACTAATTTCACATGGCCTGAACAAATTGTGTTGATTATGCAGTTAATTCTAAGTCCAGCTCATATGAAGTCTGACTAGTCTGGTAAAAGCTGCAACATAACAAATTTACAGCACAGATGTGCCATATCATTAAAAACACATGAGCTTTGTGATTTTAGGGGCAAATTCTGGTGTAACTATTGCTAGTTTTTTGCACCACCTTAGCTTTAGTCTTCAATGGAACCTGCAATAAGTTGTTGATTATTGTGTGAAAGTAACATTTTCATGTGATCTGCGGTTGAAATCCTCAATGGAATGCAAAAAAGTTGTTGATTATTGTATGAAAGTAGCATTTTCATGTGATCTTGTACTGCTGCTTTCTTCCTAACATTGGGGGAGGGAACAGATTCCTTCATGTGTATTATGCCTGCCCCCAGTGTCATTTTGTGAATGATGAGAGGGTAACTGAAGACCTAAGGCTGTTTTTCAGCAGCTGGGGCCTGTAGATTGACTGTATACATGCTGTGACAAAGCACCAGCAGGTTGACTTCATGCACAATTGATCAAAGAGGACTGTACTCCACAAATCAAACAGTATCAGCTTGATCTGTCCCATCAACCAACATCACTCATGGCATGCATGCTGTCAGGAAGACTTCAGGTTGTTTTTTATTTTGTGTATTTGCACCAAACATTGCATGAACAATAAAGAGTGGATGTACAAAGTGATGCTGCTGCCCCCTGAGTAGAGAGGGAAGTGCTGAAAATTGTGTTACCCTGTTGTGTTTGAGTGTCACTGGTGTGAGTGTCACCGGCGGCGCCGTCACTCAGAGACCTGGCATGGGGTTGAGTGTCCACTGGCGGCGCCATCGCTCAGAGACCTGGCGTGGGGTTGAGTGTCACCGGCGGCGCCGTCACTCAGAGACCTGGCGTGGGGGTTGAGTGTCACAGGCGGCGCCGTCACTCAGAGACCTGGCGTGGGGTTGAGTGTCAACCGGCGGCGCCGTCACTGGCGGCGCCGTCGCTCAGAGACCTGGTGTGGGGTTGAGTGTCACTGGCGGCGCCGTCACTCAGAGATCTGGCGTGGGGTTGAGTGTCACTGGCGGCGCCGTCACTCAAGGACTGGGTGTGGGGTTGAGTGTCACTGGCAAGCGCCGTCACTCAGAGGCCTGGTGTGGGGTGGTGTGTCATCGGCGGCGCCGTCACTCAAGGACTTGGTGTGGGGTTGAGTGTCACCGGCGGCGCCGTCACTCAGAGACCTGGTTCCATCGGTCCGACGCACGGCCCGACTAGTTCTGCACCGGAATGGCTGCTGGCCCCGCCGGAAGTCAGGCCACTGGCCATGTTTGCTGACCTTGTTAAGGAGATCCGTCAGGAAGCCCGCGCCACGTCGTACCAGAATTGCTCGTTTCCGAAATCAGTGATGTGGCGAGATGCTGCCGGACCAGTTGCCGGATAGAAACCTTGACGCCGCCAGCTGCACCGATCTTATCGATTGGTTAGAAGAGCTGGCAGGGACCGGGCCGCCGCCACTCTCTGCATCAGAGGGCGTCGCGGAGCTGCGGACTGCGGGTCATACACTACCTAGCGCCCAGCGCTCGCAGGCCGTAGAGCGAGGAGTGGAGCTCGCCATGCAGACGACGTCTGAAGCGGTGGGGCGGGACGCACGCCATGAGCGCATGTGCGAAAAAAGCCGTGTAGACATTTCATCCCATTCTTGAAGCGTTGAAACGGGGTTGGCACGCGCCCGGGTGACCGGTCGGATACCCTTCGCTCGGGGGGGGGGGGGGATCAATTAAACCCCTGAAGTCTCAGGAACTAAGAGAGCTAGAGACACCAAATTCACAGGGTGTGTTTGCCTAAACGTGAACTCACTTAGGCCAAAGCTTGAGGCTCCTAGGTCGTGATCGTCGAGTCAGATTAGGTCAAACGGGGTCAAACTTCAGGTTTACCCCAGTCCCCCGGAACCTAGATATCTCCTCTACAGCAAAAGTTAACATGCTCGTTTTAGGTCGGTGACCTTGTTCGACCTTTTGAAGGTCATACTGACCAAAATCATACAAGACTGCTTTGGGTTTTGCATTTGAATAACCGGCAAAGATTACGCTAAGCAATATATTAAAAACAAATGTTGACATGGACCATTTTAGATCAGTGACCTATCCTGCCCTTTGAGATGTCCATAGAAGATGCATAATGCGGTTCCTGTCATCAATGAATTAAAAATGAGCACCAGAAACTGCCTCACACAGCAAGCCCTAGAGTAATAAAACAGACTGATTTTGGCCCCGGTCCGGTCCGGTCCGCCCCGGATTTTGGCCTATACCTGACCCTGGGTCAATGGCATCTGTTCATTCAATTACTGTGTTTCCTGAGAAATTATCTCAGAGATGTATGGCTTTGTCGAACACTCCGTTGTTGCATCAAATTGAACATTTCTCTAGAAATTGATTCTGCTGAATGCATGACCTGTCTTTGATCTGCCGTAGGTCAGTGACCTTACAAGGTACAGCTAATTTTTCATAACAAACGACCGATTTTCAATTGTCTAGAGCTCTGCAAAATTTGGCGCGGCTTCTCCGCGCCGTTCGGAAACCATTCCGGAAAAACCCTCGGCGGAGAGCCGATCAATTTGACACCCACTTGAGCGCGTGTTAGAGGCCGACTGGTGACGTCCGTCTTTAGACAGGGGTCAGTTTGAGGTCACGTGGCCGCACCATGGCTGCCAGGCCGGCTTAGTGAAACCGTCTGTTTGTTTTGGATATGTGCACGTATGATGATTATTGGTTCGAGCTTTGATGTTGGAGTGGTCCGCAACTCGCCCATTTTACCTGAGTTTGTCCAATTGGTCTGCGAGTGTTTGCCATTTCACAGCTGATGTCCCTCTTTGCATTGCGCACGTCCGCGAGTAATTTAACATGGGTAATGGCGATCTAATCGTATTTCATATCTATGACATCAACTCTGTTTAAAACTCAGTCAAGAAAATGTCCAACGGAGAATGAAACGTTGAGAAATATGTGATAATGCCGGGCCATGCAATATGACAATCTATATCTTCTTTGCATCATAATCTCTGGTGCCGTTTTAAACGAACATCGAGAAGAAACTGACGGAAGCATCAGATTGACCGAGAAAATAGACAAAATGATCATCAATGCTGAGACCGTTGTGATTTTTAACCAGCCATTTAAAGAACAATCTGCTTCCTCTCCGCCCCATATATATGTATGTGTGTGTCTATATATATATATATATATATATATATTATATATATATATATATATATGTGTGCGTGTCTATATGTATGTATATATATATATATATATATATATATATATATATATATATATATATAATATATGCACGTATATTTGATGTGTGTATATAATGCTTGCGTGCGTGCGTCACCCTGCGCGAGGAACATCGAAGAAAGCGGAAATGCCTGCGGGAAGTAGGGGGGGGGGGGGGAGGGGCGCCGGGCTGGTGGGGCTGGACGCCGCCCGCCCGCGCTCTGCCGGCGGCCGGCCGGTCACGTGACCCGCCGGCCTTGTGCCGGAGCGAGGTAATTTGGCCAGGGGCACACTCGGCGGCGCGCGCTGACGGCGGCCGGCTACACCCCTGGTATGTGATGGGGCGCTGGCCCGGACTCGTGCCGTGGTCTCGTCCCGCTGAACTAATTTGCAGCCGGCCTTCCCGCGCTGCGCTTGGTGTCCGCCTGGATCTTTAACGTCGTGCTTGCCTGATCTGTAAAGGGCAGACATTTGTACTCGTCTCCAAGTAACTGGTAGCTTTTTTTTTAGTGAACCCCACTTCGTGGCCCACTAACGCCATCAATGTCCTGATGTTCGTGGTGAATGAATATTTGGCCTACGGTGCCTTTCGGCTTTCGTATGGGCTGGGCCTGGAGTGCCGCATTGCATGACAAGGCCTGCAATATGTTTCCCATGATGGTGACCATGATGTTCCCAGTCATGGTGACCAGCCAAAATGAACGTTCAAATTAAACATGTACGTCGTCGCTGTGCTGCTTGTAGGCCTAGCTCGTCTGAATGGTTGGGGTCAGATGTTCCATTCGTTGTAAAAAGCTCCGGTAAAATGTGTCGCGGGCGATAATTTCCAAGGCATTGTCGCGATACGTGTCATGAAATACGCAAACCACTTTGTTGTTGGTAGTCATAGTGTTATTGTTCGCTATATGCTTTATTTTACCTCATTCCCAGGCAGCTGACTCATTCCGGTGGAATAGTATCGGTTGTGAACCGAAACAAGGACGAAGATGCCAACCAAAAAGAACAAACCACAGATAAATCCGTTTTCAATGTACATGCGCGAGCAGGAGCCCATCCTCCGACGAAGAGGGTTACAGTTTAATTCAAAGAAGGAGTTGGTCGACTATTATTTCCACATTTTAATAACCTCTCGGATTTGGAGCGCCAGAAGTACAAGAACATGGCGAAGATCGAAAAGGAGCAGGCCAAGATGGACCTGACGCGCAAGTTCGACGACCGCGGAGTGCCGCTGTCCCAGATCGCGGCTGAGCGCGACGAGCTCCGACTGAAGAAGGACAACATGCTGCGTCACGTGACCAGCATGGTCCACGACCGCAGCGGCGGCGAGCCGCTCACCAGCGTCAAGTTCTACAACCTGTTTGTCTCGCTGCACTGCTACACGGACTTCGGCAAGGGGGCCGAGTACTTGCCGTGCGAGGTGGCGCTCTGTGAGTGGACAATCGCCGACGGGGTGCTCCGCTCGTGCTCGTATCTGATCGAGCCGGACCGCATCCCGGCCGGGTACAAGTCGCGCTGCCGCGACATCTCCGAGGCCACGCACCAGGTGCCGCTCGGCCACCCGGGCGCCGAGACCAACTTCCCCGGCGTCTGGATCCGGCTCAAGAACTTCATCAAACCCGCAGGAGGAGCTGGACGACTACCCGCCCGTGTTCAGCGGCTCGCTGGAGCTGGCCGAGACGGAGGGCCGCGCTCCAGTGGCTGCACGACCGCTCGGCGGCCCGACCGCCGGGCCAGTCGTTCCGCGTGTACCCGCTGGAGCGGCTGCTGTACGAGCTGTTCCACGCGGCTGGCGAGCCGCAGCTGGAGACCTCGTGCGGCGACCTTCTGAAGCAGGGACACTTTGACTATCTCACCGACCTCGCCTGTCCGTTCCACCAGGGCATCGACAACTCTAAGTTCTGCATGCTAGCGATGGCGCGCCGCCAAGCCTTCACCGTGCTGGACCGCGTGGTCGGCCATTTCGGCGTCGAGCTGGTGCCCGGGCGACATGTGCCGCAGTCGAAGAACGACGCAGGCGTGGCCGTGTACGCCCGATGGCGCCAGGCGCTGCCGCCCGGCCCATCGCCTTCAAGCCCAGCCGCGAGAAGGAGCCCGACCTGCCGACCGAGTACAAGCTGCTGTCGGCTGGACCGTCGCGGTTCCGGGGCGGCGACCGCGAGACGCCCGTGGTGCCGGACCACGCTGGGTGGCAGCGCTCCACCGCCACCTCTGGCTGGGTGTCGGTCAGCTCGCGCGCCCTGCCGGCGACGACGGCGACGAGTGGCCGGCACCGACGGCCGCCGCCGCGGCGCCAAACTCGCGGCCGCGTCCCCCGGCCGCGCATGGCCAGGCGGGCGCGCAGCCGCCGCCGCCACCGCTCTCGGAGCACGAATTCCCGGCGCTGGGCGCGCTCTCCGAGGTCGAGTACCCGGCGCTGGGAGCAGCCGGCGCGCTGACCGGCCGCAGTCGGCCGCTGGCGGTGCGGCCGCGCGCACCCGGTCAGTCGCCGGCGCCCGCCGCCGACGCTGAGCTGCGCGTGCCGGTGATTGGGCGCGGCCGCTCCTCCAACCGCACCACGGTCGCCAGCCACCTGGCCCAGCGGTTCGCCAAGCAGCCCGGACAGCCGTAGTGGGCAGTGGCGGCGGCGGACGGGGTGCGGGACGTCGCCACATCGGAGTGCAGCCGGGGAGGGGGGGGGGGGGCTTCATGTCTGAGCGGGGGGGGTGGAGAGGAAGGGCAGCGGCAGCACGTCTTTTGAGTGGTTGGCCCGCGTGACGTCCGATGCCTGGGAAGGGGGTGGGGTTGCCGTAATCAGGATGTTATAAATGCTATGTATTCTACCACGGCCGCTCCACACGCTTACTTTTTACTCCAGGAAGTCTAACCATATTATTTGGCGTTGGTATATGTGCACACCATACATATGTCCAGAGAAGTTTGTGTTTTTTCTACTCTCTCCGGGTGCTTTTATGTGCTGTTTTTCTATCTGTCCGGATGACTTTTAGGTGCTGCTTGTTGCGCAGTGTTTCATGTTGTGACGTCTGGTCTGTTTTACTTACACTGAGTATTAAAATTACGCGTTGCGGTTTGATCTCTCTAAAACGCTTCAGGTGTACGTGGGGGCGGTGGCCCGATCGTGGGCCAAGTGCCCGTAACTGTCCAAACGCGTGACAACGTGGGTCGAATTAATCTCTGCTAAGATGTATGTTCTTCCTGCAAGATTCCCGCGTTTGGAGGGCCTGTTTTCTGAGGCTTTCTGCTTACCACAGATGCAGCTAAACGAACCGCGCTGCGCTGCAGACTACGTGATGCTGCTAGTCTGGAGATCAGCGGGATGCGTCGCGTGATGTGATTGCTGTTAGTCTGGAGATCGGCGGGGTGCGTCGCGTGATGTGATGCTGTTAGTCTGGAGATCGGCGGGGTGGCGTCGCGTGGTGTGATGCTGTTAGTCTGGAGATCGGCGGGGTGCGTCGCGTGATGTGATGGCTGCTAGTCTGGAGATCGGCGGGATGCGTCGCGTGATGTGATGCTGTTTAGCTGGAGATCGGCGGGGTGCGTCGCGTGGTGTGATGCTGTTAGTCTGGAGATCGGCGGGGTGCGTCGCGTGATGTGATGCTGTTAGTCTGGAGATCGGCGGGGGTGCGTCGCGTGATGTGATGCTGTTAGTCTGGAGATCGGCGGGGTGCGTCCGCGTGATGTGATGTCGGTTAGTCTGGAGATCGGCGGGGGGTGCGTCGCGTGATGTGATGCTGTTAGTCTGGAGATCGGCGGGGGTGCGTCGCGTGATGTGATGCTGTTAGTCTGGAGATTCGGCGGGGTGCGTCGCGTGGTGTGATGCTGTTAGTCTGGAGATCGGCGGGGTGCGTCGCGTGATGTGATGCTGTTAGTCTGGAGATCGGCGGGGGTGCGTCGCGTGGTGTGATGCTGTTAGTCTGGAGATCAAAGAGGGGTGCGTCGCGTGGTGTGATGCTGTTAGTCTGGATATCGGCGGGATGCGTCGCGTGGTGTGATGCTGTTAGTCTGGAGATCGGCGGGGGTGCGTCGCGTTGTGTGATGCTGTTAGTCTGGAGATCGGCGGGATGCGTCGCGTGGTGTGATGCTGTCAGTCTGGAGATCGGCGGGGTGCATCGCGTGGTGTGATGCGGTCAGTCTGGAGATCGGCGGGGTGCATCGCGTGGTGTGATGCGGTCAGTCTGGAGATCGGCGGTGGTGCGTCGCGTGATGTGATGCTGTTAGTCTGGAGGTCGGCTGGGTGCGTCGCGTGGTGTGATGCTGTCAGTCTGGAGATCGGCGGAGTGCGTCGCGCGGTGTGATGCTGCTAGTCTGGAGATGGGTGGAGTGCGTCTCCTGGTGTGATGATGTCAGTCTGGGGATCGGCGGGGTGCGCTGTGTGGCCTGCGGTGGCGCCTGTGATGTATGGACGGACGATCCGCAGTCCTCCACGTGATCCGTCTTGCGATAAAGCGTTCCATCAGCACAGCTGTTTCTCTGGTGGTGACGGCCTGGGGTGCCGGTGGTCGCAACACTGATGGTGTGGCGGCCGGGGACGCCAGCGCCGCGGCCGATATAGAGGAGACGCCTGGGACTGCCCGCAGCGAGCGGCACAAGCACGGGCGTCACCAGTACCTCATGGGTGACACCCAAACCTACGCCAGCGAAAATCGTCCTATCGTCCTGGCAAAGTGATACAGATCGGTCGTGTCAGTGGATTCAAATACGCCGTCTTTCAGAGTTTGGCGCACGAAAAGGTTTGTTGCCGTATGACGGTCGCGCGCCGGTTGCCATTTGACTGTCAAAGGAGGTGGGATCGTTCCGGCCAGGCCCAGTAGATTCAGTTCGGACATAAGGAGAGTGATGTACGATCTTGTGATGTGATCGAGATGTCTGAAGACGCGTTCGGTGGGGTGTACATTGGTTGCAGTTGACTACTACCGCCTGAAGCACTTTGTCGGCGCGTCATAATCGTGTGCGTCCGAGTCAGGTCTGATTCACATCCTGTCGCTGGAATCGGTTGAATAAATGTTGGCTGACCTTAAATCAGCGTCAAGTGATGCTTCCCTACTAAAGACTGAAGTTCGGAAGGCCCATTGGCTGACACTGATGCATGGCGATTATATCATTTCTTTCAAGTACTTGAAACATTGCAGTGCGTTACTTTGTGATTACGCCGAAGCGGTTGCGTCAGCATATTTTATCACAATATGCTTCTTCGTTTCGTCGCGGGAGGAAGACGTTGCAACCGCAAACTCCCGCCTAAATCGGCCAGTGGGTGATGGACGCAACTTACTGCTCGGATGATAATCACCCCAGCCGCTCCACACTCCTGTTACCAGCCGCGCCAGTGTTCATACAAATGCATTACTCCGCTTTCCGACTGAGTCGCAGGTCTGACAGGTGCTGGTACCTCAGTGGGCTCGGGGATTCCCAGGCATAGACATGAAGCCCTGTCTCCTTTTCCATCGACATCTTAGCCGCTGCCTCCTCTTTCCATCTACATCATATAGCCTTGCCTCTCTTCTTTCCTGGGTATCGTAACCCCGTCTCCTCTTTCCATTGACATCATAGCCTTGCCTCCTTTTCCATAGCCCTGTCTCCTCTTCCATCCCCATCGACATCAGAGCCCGCCCTCTCTCCATCGACGTCGTACTCTGCCTCCTTTTTCCATCGACATCGTAGCCCTGCCTCCACTTTCCATCGACATCGTAGCCCTGCCTCCTCTTTCCATCGACATCATAGCCTTGCCTCCTCTTTCCATCGATATCGTAACCCCCGTCTCCTCTTTCCATTGACATCATGTCCTGCTCCTCTTTCCCACATCATCCCTAGCCCCCTCCTCTCCATCGACGTCGTACTCTGCCTCCTTTTTCCATCGACATCGTAGCCCCGCTTCCTCTTTCCATCGACAACGTGGCCCTGTCTCCTCTTTCCATTGACATCATAGTCCTCTCCTCTTTACAACCGTTGCTTCATATTTCTGCGGGGCGAGCACGCATCATATGGATCGATCACACAGCGAATGCACGGATCACGTTTTATTTACCAATCCTTGAGTATACTACATCTCAACGCGGGCCATCGCAGGTCGTTCAACATAAGAGCCCATCATACACGTGACTCATTAGCATTCTTTAAAACTTTTAAAACATGTCAACGGTCCGTAACGGAGCGATCCACGTCGCCTCCCGCATCGCGAATATCGCGCACGCGACGAAATGCATCCAGCACACGCGGAATGACCCACCATAAAACAAATCAAACAAAACGCAACTGACACGGCAGGAGCGAGACGCCAAGAGGAGAAAGACATCACTACGAGAGACGTTGTACTGGCACATGACTGATGCACCACGCTCCTTGTTCCACGGTCCTGAATGCGCACGCCGCCGCGCGCTCACATAGTGTTGAACACCGAGCTGACGTGCCGCGTCCGCACGTCCAGCTTGGCGAGCGGGTGCGTCTTGCCGTGCAGGCGCTTGCGCTGCGGGCCGGGTCGCGCATGCGGCAGCGGCAGCGGCGGCGGCCTCTGCGCCGTGCGCACCACCGGGCCGGGCGTATGGCTAGCAGTGCGGCTGCGGCCGAACACCTGGCCAAAGTTGCGGCGCGTGAACGACGCCAGCCGCGAGAGGTCAAGACTGGACTTGCGCGCTGGCACGGCCGGCGAGCCGGCCGGCGCCGCGGCCGCCGAGTCGGGCGCGTCGGGCGGCGCCGAAGTGCGGCGGCGGCTCGGCCGACTCGGGCCCCTCGAAGCGGCCGACGAGCCTGCGCACGCTGACCTCATCTGTCGGGCTGGGCGTGTCGAGCGGCACCTCCCGGCCATACAGCTTGTCCAGGCTGACGCTGCGCACGACCGGCAGCGGCGGCGGCGCCGCGGGGCGCGGTCCCGGCGAGCCGGGCGAGGCCGGCGCCGCCTCGCGCGCCTCCAGCTGCTGCGCGAGTCGGCGTACCTGGCCGGGCGTGGCGAGGCGCGGCTCGGCCTCGCCGGCCCGGCAGCTCGTCCGTCAGCGAGACGGACGACACGGCCGGCCGGCACGGACTGCCGCGGCCGACAGGTTTACCAGCGAGACGGCGTGCGAGCCGATCGCGGCGCCGCCGGCTGCCGGAGCTGTACGCTCATAGCGCGACAACGGCCGGCGGCGCCCCGGGGCTAGTGTCGCCCGGCGGCGGCGGCGGCGGCGGCGGCGGCGCAGCGGCGGCCGGCCGCGCCACCGGCGGGCTGACGGCGGTGACGCGGCATCGACGCGCGGGAACGCCAGCCCCGTCGCCGCCGCGTCGATGTCGGCGACGGCCGTGTGTGCCGCGTCGTACGAGCCCCAGGAGCTGCTGCGGCTCGGCGACTGCACGCCGGCGGCGCGCAGCAGCGCCTCCCTCCAGCGAGCTCCACGAGCTCTGGCGCGAGGGCGGCGCCAGCTCCACTGAGCCGCACGAGCCGCGCGCGCCGTCGCTCGACGACGAGCGACGCTCAAAGTCCTCGGCATGGCGACGCACCAGGCCGGCGGCCGGCTCGGTGGCGGTGGCGGTGGCGGCGGCGGCAGCGCGCCGGCCGGACGGCGGCGCGTCGCGCGAGCGCAGCTCCACCACCTGGCCGACCCAGGTCTCGGTCGGCACCAGGCGAGGGTTGACGCACTCGAACACGGGCGCCGGCTGCGGGTCGGGCCGCAGCGCGCCCTCGAGCGGCTCCAGCGGCAGCGACAGGTTCATGGCCTGGTTCTGCGACACGCTGTAGTCCTGGCCGTTACAGGGCACGCGCAGGTTGACGGAGGTGACGCGCGCGCGCGGCGTGTCGCCCGGCAGCGTCTGCGAGCGGCTGCGGGAGCGCGTCGGCCGGCCGTAGTGGCCCGGCGTGGTGCCTGCGAGAGGGGCGCCGTCAGGGCGGGGCCGCCGCAAGCGGGTCACACTGGGAAAGCCTGAGGTCAGGCCACATTACCAGCACAGCGGTCAGTCCTTACACACGCCCGGCTGGTGTCCCGGGACGGTCGCCGGACAACAGACACCGTACGGACGATGTAGGATGAAACACGTCCTCACTGCATGTATGCCATTATAGAGTCGTTCTGAAATTATCCTTCACCAAGCTGACTTCTTCTAAGAAGCCGTGATTTCCTTTAACAATACCGCAAAACCACGTAATACGTCACACGACAAGAAGCACTCACACGCCAGACAAGTGTGACGCAAACCCAAACCCACATAGTCCAGGTAAATGGACCACCACACACGGCCTCCTCCGAGGACGGCCTCCCACGCCACCCGCACCGTACCGTTCATCTGCGCGAGCAGCGCATCAGCCACGTTGTCGGCCGGCGACCAGGACTTTGGCCGCGACGAGGCATCGGCCGCCGGCGAGTCAGGCCGGCAGGCGGCGCTGATGTCGGTAGCGTCGCCCGTCTCCTCGCCAGGCGGCAACACCGGCGACGAGAGCCGACCGCTCTGCAGGTTCGTCTCCGACTTGGAGCGCCAGAGCGAGTTGTGTCGCTGCCGGCTGGCGTCCAGGATTCCCTGCCGGGCGCCGGCGAGGGTTACGCGCCGCTCCGGCCGGCCCGCGGCTGGCCGTCCCGCCCCGGCACGGCGGCCCGTCCAGGGATCTGGACTCCGCTTGGCGTGCGACAAAGCGCCCTTGGCCCAAAATCCGCCACCACGCTTTGCGTGATTCGTCCGACGGCCGACTAACGGGTTGACTGTTGATTTATGCATGCACAGTTGCGGGCACGCACAGATGTCCGCGGGGCCTTCAAGGGAAACCAAGCGACAGGCTCTTTTTGCCGGGCATTGCGCGAACTGCCTGCAGAAACGAGATACATTGACTCGATAAATGCCCGCCGTCGACAAGCCGCAGTCATGCAGATCAGTAAAATGTGCGAAGGCAACGACGACACATCTCTACGACAAGCTATGGATAAACAAGCTTTCCACATACCTGATAGGTTTCTAATTGTCTAAGAAAGCTTGCGTTGGGTTTGACACAGCCGCGACTCCGCTTCACGTATTTGAAGGCCTTCTCGTAGCTCCAGCCGTACGCCTTCATGGCGTAGGCCATGACGACGGCGGCCGACCGGCTCACGCCCATCCGGCAGTGGACAAGCACCCGGGAGCCCTCGCTCCTGCGAACACGGCCGCCCCGATCAGACGACGGACCGCGCGGCACCGGCGGACGCCGGGCCGGCCCGGTCGGAGCGCCGCGCGCGCCGCCGGAGAAGACGGCCCGGCGAGAACAGCGCTATAAACAGCCGCTTCTCCCGGCGTTCCTTCGCCGAGGAGTAGGCGTCATGAGTGTTTGTCAGAGACATCGGCGGCCCGCAACAGCGCGCGTTTGTCCACGGCCGGCGGCGTTTTTGTTCGGCACACAAAGGAGACTCCGCTGGGCGGACGCCACCGCCTGCCAAACATGCCACGCCGCACCTGGAAGACATGCGCACCACGTAGGGGACGCCAGACCCTGAGCCCCAGTCAGTGAGGGCAGCCAGCGTTGCGAGCGTACGCTTCCGTGAAGCGCGACGACATCCTGGATCTTACACACAGGATTCGCAGCAGAGCTGCCAGACTCGGTTCCGCTGCTATTGCAATGCTCTACCGGACGTCACACGCACTATCGCTGTCCGAATCCGGCGAAGGCAGCGCCGGGTTCTGGCGATTTTATGACTCTGTTTTCATCGGCACAGACAGATGGCCGGAGAGCATCAGAAGGCGGGGACATACTGGCAGCCGACCGCGGCGTGACTCATGTGGCAGATCAGCCTCTGCAAAAAGGTGACCTTCGGACTGCATCCCAGTCTGCACGCGAGATCACGCAAACGCCGATTACCATTCGCAAAAAAATGACCTTACGAATACTTCGCGCAATCTTACAACCGGCCTCCAAGCCAGGAAGCCAGCTGTCCAGCGGATCTGCAGAGCTCCGGTGGCCGGCCGCCCTCTCTCGCCACTCTCGTCGCAGCTACCCACTCACTTGGCCTTGGCGATAAACTTGAACGTCTTGTCCCAGTGCTTGAGCAGCTCTGTGGCCTCCTCGTCGTACACACGCACGTTCAGGTACTGGAAGCGGCCCGGGAAGAAGTTGTCGATCTCGCGCGTCACGTTCACGATGTGGCCGATCCTGCGGGCGCGGCGGGCAGCTGCGTGAGCCCGGCGCGCTGCGCGGGTGGTGAGCGCGACGCGGGTGTATGAACAACGGGCGCCGGCGCCGGCGTCGTGCGGCCGGATCACCGCCGCCGCCCATTCTACAGGTGCACCCGTGCGCGGCGACTCGCGCCCGCGGCGCGTATGTACAGACGGGGCGCGCGCCGGCGCGACGTACCCGTTCCGTTTGAGCTCCTCGATGTCCGAGGCGTTCCACTCCGAGCCCAGGTAGAGGTGGTCGAAGATGCGCGACGCGTGGTCCATCTGGCCCATGATGACTAGCATCTCGGCGTCGATGAAGCCCTTGAACTCCTTGAGGCTGCACTCCATCTCGTCCTCGAGGCGCGTGCGCAGCTCCTTGGAGGTGACCTGATCCAGGTCGACGCTGAGCATGATCTCTCGGAGCCGGGCGCGGATCACGCGCTGCGTCTCCTCCTTCTCCGATGGCCTGGAGGCACGCGCGCGCGGGCCCGGTCAGATGTGGCAGGACGGCGGGGGCTCGAGGCGGACGGCGGAGCGAGAGGAGGCGGGCTGCAGACGGGGATGATGTGGGGGACGGGCTGGGGGAGAGGAGGCAGGCTGCAGACGGGATGATCCGACCCACGGGCTGGAGGAAGGGAGGCGGGCTGCAAACGGGGATAAGATAGCCGACGAGCAGGAGGGGGGTACACAGTTTAGGGCAGAAATGGGGTGAGGGAGGGAGGAATGTGGAGAAGGATGCGATTGTAACGGAGGCAAGAGTGGCGGGGACGGGGCGCGGTGTCACATCATACCACACAACGGCTCTGGGCGAACACAAAACTACCCCCGCCAGCCTCGAGTGTGGACGGGATTCTGCGCTCTTCTTTACACCGGATTAACGGAAAACTGCAAATGACGACATATGCAAGCAATACCATGTGCTACAACACGTCATTGCAGCTAACAGCACATTCTCGACTGTTACATTAAGATCCTGAACCAAACGCTTAAGCTTCTCAACATCCGACCAGCACGCTGGACGAGTTGCCTAGTACCCGAGCGTTCAGAAAACTACGTAACGACTATGATTCACGCGCGTTTCAACTAAGTGAGCCTGTGCATCGCAAGCGAATCCCGCGGTGGGCTTTCGTTGCTCGTCCGGAGTCGACACAGGTGTGTGATCATCCTGCCGCGGCAGAGGGGTGTTCAACCGAGGGGTCTGGCCACCCCCCTCCACAGTAGGAGGGGGCAGCCGAGGGGCCTGGTTGCCCGCTGAGGTCGCCGGCAGACCTGGGAAGGCACTCAATGCCCGCGGCGAGGGCAAGAGCACGAGGATCACCCGGCACTTGGGGGAGGGGGGGGGGGGGGAGGGGATGAGAAACAGCGATCTGCAACAACGGCCGTCCACAACAGGGAAATTGGGTGCAATGACCCGCTGCAGCTACTGGTCACGGGGAGCGGGCGGCCATCAGCTCCCGGAGTGGAGGCGATCGCCGAGGCCGAAACGACGCTCTGCTCTGCTACAGCGGGCGCTGGCGGGCACAGAACGGCCGGGCACGCTCTCTCCGCCCGGATAAGGCGACAGAGACATGCCCTGGTCGCACTGACGGAGAGGGGCAGTCAGACAGGGGGGGGGGGGGGGGCGGGGGGGGGGCGGGGCGGGTCAGACCGGCGGCCCGGTCCAGACCGGCCGCGGCGCTCACTGACCTGCTACGGCGGCTGTCGGGCGAAGGCGGCCGGCGCGACTCGATGTCCTCCATGGCGTGCCACTCATTGAGGCACGACTGGTCGGAGGCGACGAGCCGCTCGTACGGGCTGACCCAGTCGGGTCGGCTGAGCGGCCGCGGCACCAGGCTGCGGCAGCGGTGCAGCGTCTGCAGCGCCGACCTGTCGGGCAGCGGTGGCCGGGTCAGACGGACGGGGCCAACTGGCGGCGCTGGCGCTTGTGAACGGCACAGACCGGGATCCGACGGAAGGGAGCAGGCGTGCACTGTCGGAGGCGGAGGAGCGTCAATACGGGGATCACTTAAGATAACGGTGACAGCCCCGGTGATGCCGTCTTGAGAGCACCCTCTACATTGTCACGTGGTCGGTGAAGCCACCAAAAGCGGTCCGAATTAGGACAAACACAGCTTCCGACGACAGAGACTACGACTTCAAGAACCACCAGCGCCGACCAGCACAGAAGACCACTAAGCTCGAGCTGAACCGAGGCGCACTAGAGCCGCGCCGGCGCCAGCGGACCGGGGCGCGTCTCCGCCCGCGGTCGGTCGATCTGCGGCGGCTCGCGGATGGCGACTATCAGGGCCAGCGCAGCCGCACGAGCTCGTCCGCCCCGTCTCCCGTGCCGCGCGAGCAGGACACGATGACAGATACGGTCCGTAAGACCGTTGGAGTGGCAAGCGCCCACGCTTCGGCGTCCCCAACCGACCCGCGCCTGCCGCGACTTCCGTGGACCAACACGCGTCCATGGGCTTCACCTTCACCGCCGCTACATGTTGATTGATCCTAAATGCCCCGCGACAATGAGGGGCCTTCTGGCCCGGGTCCAGCCATGAGCGCTGATCACTAGGGCGCCAATCTAAACAGCTCGGCAGACACGTGAGCTCCACACAAGGAGCGCTTTGCCGGCGCACAAGCGGCAGGCCGGCGCCAACGTCGCAGGCGATTTCCAGGCGCCGCCAGCGGACCAAACAAGCCGCCACGGCCGAACATAAACCGCTTCCAGGGGACCTTCGCCATTATCTCTGAAATGACGCCGTTTCGCAACGAGGAACACGGGCGTTTGGTTCAATGACGACGAATTCGAGGCCGGCTCGACGGTCACCGGGCACCCTGACAGCCAGCGAGGCCGATCCCGCCCTGGTCCACGGAGGTGGCATCGCGCATCTGGGAACAGCTGATCGACGAAGCTCTGGAGAGGATGGGGAGGGGGGAGGGGGGGGGGGGCACCTGCCCGATGCCAACCAATCGCCGCGGTCGGAGCTGGCCGTCGACCACGTACGGCGCGCGGGCCAGATGGAGCGCTCGCTCCGCCGGGCTCGATGAAGATCGATTCGCGACCTGTAGGCGAATCCCCGCTGTCTTATGAGTACACCCAGCGCGGGACGACAGCGATCCCTGTGATCGATACGGCAGCCGAGAGCACAGCGCCGGGTTAGCGCAGCTCGAGGGAGACGTTCGCCCCCGATCGCTACAAGCTTTTAACTTCCGATCACAAGGAAGCATAATGTGAGCCCGACACGCTCAGCCGGGCAGAACTTCAGCTGAGCCGCCTGATTCGCCCGGCTCTGCACTATCGGCCCAAGCTCGCACAGCGAATGCAGCGATGCGCGGCAGCTCGCTCGGGCGGAATGCTGCGGCGGCTGACCGACCGTTTATCGGCGCTATCGCGAACGTGCCATTAAATAAGCATGCATCTTATTCAACCGCAGGCGTGCCCGGTCCACTCGACACCGCCGAGTGGCTCTGGAGTGGCCTGGTCGGGCATGGATGTTGCCCTGGCGGCCGGTGACCCGGTCTCGTTTGCCGAGCTGGGCGGCGAGGGCCGGCAGGCCTTACCAACGCACCCAAACGACGGTCAGGCCGGCCACACACACACACACACACACACACAGCCGCTCTCGTTCCCGCAGTTTAGCTTTGAGCCGCCCCAGCCAGACAAATAGGGCGACGGGAAACGAGCGCAAATAAACCACGAAACGGTGTCAACGACAGAGTACCATAAACAGCCTCAGAAAAACCGCACAGCTAATGTGAGTAGACGCTTCCGGGACACATTACAAACGCTTGAGCCAAGCCATATCCAGCATGCAGTGTTGCCGGGGTTCAGTAGTCTGTGGAGCCGCTGACGGCGTACAGCGGCGCGCCGCCCCTCTGGCCATCGCCCTCGTGACTCAGACCCGGGCCCAGCTGGCCGGGTCGACGGCCCTCAGCGGCGGGATCGCCACCACTAAATTACCAGCGCTGCCGGCGTGGCGCCTCGGTGAAGCGCCGCAACGGAACGCCCGAGCACCGGGACGAGGCGCGGCCAGGGTACGGCTAGAGCCTGCCAAGGTCGCACTGCCCAAAACGGCGGCATCCACGGACAGCTCGGAAGATCCGATCGGTGTCTAGCTGGCCAACCTCTGGTCACCGCGGCGAGCCCCCGGGCTGATTTCCTGTTGTTTCGCTCAATTGAGCCTGGGGATCCAATCGCTCCCGGTTCCATGACAAACGACCGCTTTGTCTGACGCCGCGGCGGTATCTTGGACGCGATGAGTCAATGGCGCCACACTACACCGCCACTGAATCGTTACCTGATGCGGCGGCGCTCCGCCAAACAGCCCACAGGTGACGGGGGACGGATACGCGCCGGGGCAAACACCAGCCCAAGGTCAACGCCATCATATGAACCGACAGAGCAGTGCCGGCGCGACAGGGGAGTTGCAGCACGTCCATACATCAGCCGCTGTCTGTCGAAACCGTACACACTCCGCACGGTTCGCACAACCCGGGCGCGTCGCAAAACGGCTCGTCCTTCCTCCGACCTCTGGCGATTCCCGCGCTGCCGCCCGCCATCAGGGCCAGGCTGTCGCCACCACGACACTGTTGCCATGGCCAGACTGCTGCCGCGGCCAGACTGCCGACCGGCCGACAACAGCCCTGCGTGTGCCAATGGGGCTTTACGAAGCGCTCAGGTGCTGAGGCTATATGACGTCTCCTGCTCCTCAACCTGGCAGGAAGAGTGGACACCGCGGGGAATTGAACCCCGTACGTCTGGTTTCCCAGACGCGCAGAGGTTAACGCAGACGCGTTAGCCACTACGCTATCGGCGCCACACCCCGACAGCATCTCCGAACGACACTGTTGTAGCCCGCGGCACGGCTACGGCCTGACGAGGCTGTAGTCAAGACCGGCCAGCCGCCATGCCGAGCCGCCGCCCGCCGGCCGGAGCGGCGCGCCGTCATCGGGCCGCTCCTCCACATGTCGGCCTCGCCGCGGCGGCGACCGCGCAGCCGCACAGCTGGAGCGGGCCGTCCGACGTTGCCCGCCAGTCCGCCTCCGACGGCCGAAACCCGTCAGTCCGCAGCCGGCGCCCAACCGCCGGCGGCCGGGCCACCAAGGTCGCCGGTCGCCCGGCCGAGTTGGCGCAGCGCGGAGGTCGTCCATGTCCCGCCAAGACATCCTCGATAGCCGGCGGCGACAGCGCACACACGGCGGCCGCGGCCCGACCCAGCGCGTCCCAGACGGCGGACAGCCTTGGCCCGCCTCCCCTCCCCCCTCCCGGTAGCCGACGGCGGCGGCGGACGAATCCGTTCGCAGAACCTGCCGCCGCCGCCGCTACCGCCGCCGCCGCCGCTGCCGCCGCCGCCGCCGCCGGCGCCCGTCCGTCTGCAGCGGACAGCGGGGGAGGGGAGGGGGAGGGGGAGGGGAAGGAGGGCAGCGGTCGAGCAGCGGTCGGCCGCGGCGCGCGCGGCTTACGCAACCGGCAGCCGGTGCGGCGATCGTCAACACCGGCAGCCGCGGCCTGCCCTTCAGCGTCGACAGCTGCGGCACCCGTCAACGACCCGCCTGCCCTTCAGCACGCCGGGAGGAAAGACCCCGGCGCTGTGCCCGGCGCAGTCCTGCCGCCACGGCAGCGGACAGCGGGCCGGCGTCCTCCGGGCCGGACGCGGCGGCTCGTCAGTGCCGCGGGGCACGCGGCCGCCGCCAGCAGCCACCGTCCGTGTGCCAGCGGCTGCGGCGGCGGCCGTCCACCTCAGGCGCTCGGCCCGGGAGCCGGCGCGGGCCGGTCACGCGCCGGTGTCGCGCCACGCGCCAACACCGGGCGCCCGCGAGACGCCTACGGCCACCTCCGCCACCGATAAGGGACGTCGGAGGCGTGCCATCCCCACCGCGGCGAGCGCAAAGACCGGCAGCGCTGTCGTGATGGCCGGGGAGAACGGCACAAGCACACCAAGGACGACGGCCGACAGGCAAAACGCATTGCATGAATCGTAACGAAATCTGGCGCATTGCACAAATCAGCGTTATGCGTCTCTGGGCCAGGACGTCACTGCAGTGACAAACGTTTTGATGGGGTGTCATATCACGCTGATTTCTTGTGGAATCGACCAATACATCGAACAAATCGATGCGTTCATCTTATCGGCGCGACCAGATAAGGGCACGAAAGGAGACACAACTGAGATAGCGGAAACCAAGGGTACACACAGCGCGGTGCAGACGAGTTGACTCACCACATGGCCTGCACGGAGACGGGCTTGAAGATATGGCTGTCGCCGGCCGTACGCACCACGATCCCCCTGCCGGCACGCGGGACGAACATCGGTCACAGCTCACGCTCAAGCGCGCCGCGCCGCGCCGCGCCACTCGCAGCTCGTTGCACCGCGCGGCTCGCAGCGCACGCGGCGGCGGCGGCGGCGGAGTGACGTCACACGCGGAGCGCCAGGCGGCGCCGACCCGCCGACCCTGACGCGAACAGGTGCGTCCGACGGCGGCACCGACCGGCGCTGACGCACGGGCGCGCCGCCGCCGGTAAACAGAGCGATCCAGCGCGACCGCGAGAGGCCGACGCCGGCCGGCGGAGCGCGCGGCCGCACTGTCGGGCGACGCCAACAACGGACGGCCCGGCGGCGTCGCCCGACCCACCGCGCCGAACCGGTCATCAGTGTCACCGCGCCGCAGACGCTAATGCTAGGGTGCGACGGGCGGCCCGCTCCGGCTGGGCGCCGCGCGCTGTGGGGTGCCATTGCCGGGACCTGGGCCGGCCTCTGGAGTGGGGGGCGGCCCGGCGACGCCCGGGTGGGTGGCCCCCATTGGCAGCTAGCCTAATTTCTAGCCGCGTCATGTGCCGCCGCCGCCACCCACGTCTGCGGACATCTGTCTCGAGTCCTGGGAGTCAGCCAGTGTATGAACCAGTGGCCTGCGGGGCTAGCGGGCCCAATGGATTGACAGGAGAAGAAATGGTGGCACACCGTCGCCTGCAGCAGACAGCGTCCCCTCCGTCCTCGCCGACGTACACACACCGTCAGTGATATGGGGCCAACCTGCCACTGGCAGTCCAAAGGCCGTGATCTCCAATTCACTTCATCACGTCCCCTACGTGAACCCACTTCCGACCCGCGAGGCCTGTCCCCCACCCCTCGGTCGAACACGCCCGCTCTCGCTGCCGCCAGCCCTGCGCGTCCCCGGAGCGCCTCCGACGTACCCGTCTCCGTCTGAGCGAGATCTCCGTCTCGGCCAGCAGCCGGTGCACCAAGGCCCGATGGTGGTGCGGCGCTGGCAGTCGATGCCCAGAAGGCAGCACTCGTCGGCCGCTGGCGACGCCGCAACCACCAGGTAGCGACTCCGGCCCACGTGGGCGCTCATCCAGTCGCACCGCCTGCGGGCAGAGCGGGGCGCGTGTCAGCGCCGGTGCGCTCTACCGACGCACAACAGGCGGTCCGTCAACGGCGCGGCGTGGCACGGCGACGCGGCGCCCAGTCACGCGGGCCGCCGCCGGCACAACCGGGCCTGGCACACCCGCGCTGAAACAGACGACGCAGAGCGGCGGGGGGGGGGGGACGCCATGCAGCACGCAGCGCGCCGAGTAGGCGAAGTGCCCTGCAAACACCAGCGTGTTATCGTCCCGCCACCGCAGATCGCAACACAAACAAACGGAGCCTGACAAACACGCTCCACAAAACCGGACCGAGTCGGTCCGCACCAGCGCCCGGTCCCGCCGTCAGTCCATCTGCCAGCCAAGTCGGTCGGTCAGTCCATCCGTCCACAGCGTCTGGCTGAGCCCGCCCCAGCCCGCGGCGTTCGCCCCACGGCCGTCCGCCGTCGGCGCCGGCCGGGCCACCGTGCCGCAATCTCCAGGGCGAAAGGAGGCATCCGCGCCCGCGCCGCCGGTCGGCCGATCACTTTCACGCACCGGCAAAAACGGCCGCTCGGCCGGCGGCCCGGCAGCCCGTGAAAGGAACACCCTGACGTGGCACGCAGCACGCGTCGCGCGGAATGGGGCTGGGGCTAGGGCTGAGGTTGGGGCTGGGGTTGGGGCTGGGGCTGGAGCTGGGGCTGGGCTGTGGGCTGGGGCTGGGCTGGGCTGGGGCTGGGGCTGGGGCTGGGGCTGGGGCTGGGACGGGGTTAGGGTTGAAATTGGGATTCGGACGGGGATGGGGCTGAAAGTAACATGATGAAGATGTTGCCACAGCGGGATAAGAAGCTCTACATCCCAATATCAGTCTTATTGGCTTATGCCCGACTAAGACCTCAGGTCACACATATGCACAGTCAAACAGAGACAGTATAAATAAATGCATAACAAGTGGAAGGAAGAAATTATGTCAATGCCTCATCGTAACATCAACGTGGAATATCACAGAGAAACATCTGTACCGGTGCCCACATGGCTAAAACCCACATTCAAGCTGGTTTCCCTATTTTCTCGAAATACATTAAATGATACACTGAAGCAGCATGACGAGCAAATTCCATGTCAAACAAAATAGATAAAAACACGCCACTAACAAAAGAGCGCGCGTGAAACGCAGAATGCTGCGACACAACGGCCTCCAATCGCTGAGCAATGGTCCGAAAGATGCGGCCCGGGCGCCCGATCCGCGAGATCCCCTCCATATATGCGATAACGAGCCGCGTAATCTCGCCCAAATCCATCGAGCGAACCGGTGCGCAGCTGGCTTCCCCGGAATTGTAGCCGGCTCTACTGCGCCGTTCGCCGGGAGAGTGAGCCAGTCGTAACGACGGCGTCTTGATGCACCGCGGCGCATGGGCCGGTGGTGGCGTCCATCACCCGTCTGCGCGGACGTGACGGCATGCTGGCTCGGGGCGCTCCCAAGGACCCGGAGCCACTGCAGCCGCTGTGGACCGGACACTGCGGGCGAGCCGCGCACGACGCCGGAGCAGCGCCTCCGACAGGCTGGCGGCGGCCGGCCGAGCGAGCGGCGGCGTCCCTCCGAACCGGCAGCGCCCCATCCATCTCCGACACTCGCTGGACGGTGCCATCGGCGTCTGCGGGCGCCGCCTGCCCAGCCACTGAGACGCAGAGCGGCAGGTCCACCGCAGCCCACTGGCCGCGGCGCTCGGGGGCAGGCCGGCGCGGTCCGGCCGCTCGGTTCCGCGACCCGACCGGTAGCGTCCGACACTCCAGGGACAGGTCTCAGATCAGCCGTGAGGCGCTCGGCGGCTGCCGGGGCTGGGCCGCCCTCACGGCGGCGCTCGGGGGCCGGCCGGCGCGGTCCGCCCGCTCGGCTCCGCGACCCGACCGGCAGCGTCCGACACTCCGGGGACAGATCTCAGATCAGCCGCGAGGCACTCGGCGGCTGCCGGGGCTGGGCCGCCCTCACGGCCGCGCCGCCCGCCCGGCCGCCACGCTCCGACCAGCAGCAGACTCCGGACCGGCCAGCGCCTGCTGTGACGGCGTCCAGCGCCGGGCGACGGCGGCGGCTGTGGAGGCCGCGCGGCACCGCGCCCGTCACCGCCGCCGCACCGCCGCGGCCGCCGCGGAAGTAGGCCGCCGGCGCGCCTGGTGCCGCGCTGCAGCCGGGCAGCGGCCAGTCGGCTCCCACCAGCGCCGCGGCGGGCCAGGCGGCTGGCTCCACCACCGCTGCGCCCGCCGCCGGCCAGACGTACCGTCACGCGAAATTAGGCACAGCGATGGATGCATCGACGTCATCTTGTGTAGCGTCTTGAGATCTATTGTGCGCACGTGTCAAGGTTTGAGGATTTCTTGCAGTTTGCAAAGAATCTGGTTCCTGCCAGGACCGGACACGATGCTTCATAAGAAAGCGGAGAAGGCGAACTACCTCGAGATGGAGGAAACTCCTCCTCTGACCTTGCAGGTTCGCCAAACCCACGAAAGCCAGTCAACCATGCCGGGGACCGCCGCCGGCTGGCCGCCAACCCGCCTGAGCGGCTCACCAAGGCCGGCGCCCGCCTCTGACGCTGCCCGGTACCGCCGACACGGCCGACCGGCCCGTCCGCAGAGCACGCGTTCGATAGCGTCGACCGTCGCCATACATGGTCCGGCCATCCGCGGCGGCCGGACGGTCGCATTATCGGCGCCCGGCGCCGGCGCCGCGCCAGCTGACGGAACACGAGTGCGGCCGTCGCACCCCACGCCCGCCGCCGGCTCTGCGCCTCCGTGTTGGGATCGTTCAACTGACGCTTGGTCAGGACCCCTTTGTCCAACCCATCGCCTTCAAACACACGGCGAATGCCATGCGTATGTGGGAAACTTCTGCTGAGGCGGAAGGCTTGTACGTCAGGCCTGCGCCTGCGGTGCCTAGCCGGTGCAAAGTGCACAGTCGGCGTGCACAGCTCGGGGGCGAGTCGGCCGCCGGGCGCCCCGCTCGACGGACCAGAGTCCCGGACACGGGCTCCGGGAGGCAGGATAACGGCGCCCCCTCCCCCCCCCCCCCCCCCCGCCCGCCTCCGGGACACCTCACAGGAAACGCACGGCGGGGCTTTTCTCAGGAAGCCGCCGGCCGACCCTCTGCGGCACGTGAGCGGGGCTCCAGGACGCTACGCTACCCATGACAAGCCCGGAAGGAGACCGGCGACGCAGCGAAGATACCACAGCCAACAGCATCGATCTGGCCTCCACGCAGCCGTTAGCGGTCGGAGAAACCGGTATCTGAGACGGAAACAATCAGCAACAAATCGGCACAGAGCCGTGGAAAGCGATGACCTGATTGTGGCGGATCGAGACCGGGCCCACAAGCACCCAGCCCGCGCTGGGTTTTTGCACATGCGATACGGGCCTGCTCTCGCATAGCATAGCGGGCTATTCGAAGCTATCGGTCGTCGATCGACTCAGCACAATGCAGCTCCGCAACGCTTATACATGCAAATTATTGCGCACACGTCCACACATATGCTGGCGACACAGGACCATTAGCCCACAGAGCACGACTTCTCTGTCCGTAGAAGCCATTTTCCAGTATCTTGATCGACCGTACTAGAAAAGCGCATACAAAGTCTTGAGGCATCCACCCGAACGTTACCAGAAAAGCCATATGCACTGCTAAGCGGGTCAGAGTGCACTGCTAAGCGGGTCAGAATTGACCATTGCCAATTCTAAACACGCTTCCACACGACACCTCACGGTGTGATGGAACACAGGACCACGGACCAGAAGACGAAGGCCGCCATCTGGCCGGATTTGTGGCGACCATCCGGCAAATCCTGGACCCATGCACATCGCTAAGCCTACTATATGGCGCCTCCCAGCCTTGTGTCGAGAACACCGATCTTTGGAAGTCTGTGCTCGTCCCCAGAATTTCTGGAAGGCTCTGCCACTGGCAGGATGTCTCCGAGGAGAAAACGCCGACTATCCAGCAGAGTCAAATGTCTGGCTTCCGCTCCATCTTCAGGCGGCGCCCGGCACCCGTCCATTCATGTTCCCACCACAGGGTGGGAACTAAAGAATGCAGGCCCCGCCGCCTGTCGGTCTAGCTATAGCCACAAGTCGTCGTGTCCACCTACGAGCGCCCATTTAAGGGACGGAGTCACCTGCCATGCATGGTCAGTGTACGCCGTGAACTTAATCGCGTACAGCCGTGATCTTTACACCTGCCATACATGGTCATGCATAGTTATGCCCTCCCACGCTCCATGGTCATGCATAGTTATGCCCTCCTACGCTCCGTGGTCATGCATGCATGCCTGACTTTATTCCGTATGATCCCTGATGAGATAATGTCACTACCAATTTCATTTCAAACGATTTCGGGGAGACAATCTGTACCTGACTTTTCGCATAGCACCGTTATCCATGCGATCCGTATCCATGCGGCATTTATCCCTTACGTACTTTTATCCGGCGATCTTTTGCTATGCAACCTTTCCCGGTTACCCGTCACCACACCGCGCCACACAGGTCCGCTCGACCCGACGCCCGCCATAGTCGGCGCGCTCGGGACCAATACCGACAGCTGACAGGAGATGGCGGGAGCTGACAGGTCCTGGCGAGAGCTGACGGGAGCTAACGGGAGCTGACAGGAGCTGACGGGAGCTGACGGGCACTGGCGGGAGCTGACATGAGCTGACGGATACTGACGGGAGCTGGGGGCGGTGACGGGAGCTGACGGACGCTGGCGGGCGCTGGCGGGAGCTGGCAGATGCTGACGCGAGCTAACGGGAGCTGGCGGGAGCTAACGGGAGCTGGTGGGAGCAGACGGGCGCTGACCGGATCTGGCGGGAGCCAACAAACGCTGGTAGGATCTGGCGAGCGCTAACGAGAGTGTGGGGGGGGGGGGGGGGGGTGGAGGCGACGGGATCTAGCAGGAGCTGACGGGCGCTGACGAGAGCTGGGGCGCTGACAGGCCCTGACGGGACCTGGCGGACGCCGCCTCGCCTGCCAGCCGGCCGGACCGCTCCGTTCCCAGCGGCGACCACCGTTCCCGCGACAAATGGCCGCCCATGTAAATGCCGGCGGCCCGCAGCCAGATGGGCGCCGGGCGCCGGCCATCGCCGAGCGAGCCGGAGAGAGCGCGTGCCGCCGATTTCACTCACCATTCGCAGGTTGTCGTCGGGCCGGATCAGACTGAGCATGTCCTGCAGGTGCCGCTGGATGTCGGAGCCGGAGCCGGAGCCGGTGTTGGCGCCGCCGGGCGGAGCCGGGCTCCGGCCGCGCGGCACCACCAGCGCCGACCCCTTCACCGCATACACACACTCCCGGCTGGGACTGCAACGGACAGAAGGCGTGCACGCTGTCAGAAGCGGCGGAGCGCTCACACATCCGCATGCACTCCGCATCTTCCGCTCCGGCGGCGTCCGCGTGGTTACCGCGACAACGGCGACAAACACACTACATCCGTCGTCAACAGCACTCCCTCGCGCCCTCCGCCCATTCCTAAAATAATGTACGGGGCGACGGCCGGCCGCCGCATTCTCACGGCGGTCCGCCGCGACGGCATCGGAGCAGCGGCGGCCCGGTGGCGCCGGCGCCCGGTCGGTGACCCCGCCTCGCGCCGCCCACTGGGCCGACGCGCCGCCGCCCTCCTCGGCCGGCGGTATCCGGCCGGCAGCACGCCACATGCTTTCCACATGCGTGTTCGAGGTCAGTGCGATTGCAAGTCAGCGGCCCGCTCTGTGTCCACAGGCCGGCCGCGTCAGCCGACCGCGACGGATCGGCCAGACGTCGACGGCGGCGCCGGGACGACAGCAGGTCGGTGGCAGGGTTGCGCGCACGGGGGGGGGGGGGATTGGGCTAAACCGGGCCATTGAGTCCCCGCGGCCGGTTATGTTATCAGGTCAGCAGGCCACGACGCCGTGGAGGCGGTGGCCGCGCGCCAGCCTGCACCCAATGACCGCACCCCCCGCGCCCGGCCAGAGACCGCACCACCCCAGCCTGACCTTGCCCGGCCGCGGCCGTCCGGGCGCGGCCATCCGTCACAGCCGTGGCAAGCGGCGCCGCCGTTCGGTGGCCGGCACCCTCACACGGCGGCGGCGGCACCGGGGGAGGCGGCCCACTTCGGTGGCCGGCCGGCGGCGGGGCCCGCAGCGGAGCCCCATCAAGTCCGGCCCGGCGCCGACCGGGCACGGCACGAACGGCGGCACCTGCACCGGCCCACAGCCCACGCGGCACGGAGCGAGCCGGGGGCGTGCTCACAGCAGGCCCGATAGGCGGTTCGGTGGCGCCCGAACATGGTCACATCCGACGGTATCGCCCACGGCCACGCTCACGGCTCAGCGACCGCGAGCTGACGGGACTGAGCACCGCCAAGCTCGGCGTCAGCTCGCGCCAGTCACTGGTCCGCCCGTCGTCCCACGGGGCAAACTTGGCCGCGTGGGAAAGCCCGACCAGCACCGCGCCGCGCCCGGCCGTGTCAGCCACGGCCGCCGCCGGGATCCACGCGCGGCGGGCACGTTTCGCACTCGATCAGTGTCGCCGCGGGCTCGCCACGAGGACGGCGAGACCGGCACAGTTCGCACAGCGGCGGCGCGCCAGCGAGGCCCAGCCGGGGACGGCTCTGATCGCGGCGGGCGCGGCTCCCACGCCGGCCCACTCCGCTGCTGTGTGGATGAGTCACGCCAGTGGTAGCTGGCGAAAATCACCCGCGCGCGGCCGTGCGCGTCATCTGAGCAGGCACCCCGCTGGCGCCCCGTACCGACTCTCGGGGTATGGGGTATGGAGCCAGCCGGGGGCTGACGGCGCTCCACCGGCAGACGGCGCACGTCGAGCGTGGGTGAGCTGACCGGGCCAGGAGAAAACAGCGCCTCACCTTGACAAGAGTCAACACAAGCGATAGAAACCGGCGATATCATCGCTGACGCAACGTGGCCCGGGCTTTAGTAACACTCACCCCGGACAGTGGCACACAAACCCCAGTCTAGCAGGATCGCGGGCGCCTTGAAAAGCAATCGCAGCCCTTTCTCCTCCGCCGCGCTGACCGGCCGACCGCTGGCAACGCCAGTTACCAAATCAGAAACCACACAAGACGATACACTGTGCGGGGTCACTGTGGCCAGGGTGATCGCGACGCCCGCAGCAGCTCACAATTCCCCGGGAGTGACCGCCCGCGAAGGCCGGCGGCCGGGGGCGGCGGCGGGAGTGGCAGAGCCTAATGCGGCGCGTGGCATCCGTCGCCGGCCGGGGGTCGCCCCGCGTCAGCGCCGTCCGCCGGGCCAAATACGGCGTCCGGGGCTCGCCGCAGCGCTGCCGGCCGGCCGCCGCCGGCGCCGGCGCGCTCACCGCCGCCGCAAACGACGGGATGTCGCGACCCGCTCCGTCGCCGGGGGCGCGCAAGCGTGCGGCGCCGGGCCATCTCCGGCGGGAGCGCGGCGCGCGCGTGCGGCGGTTCCGCCGCGCCCCCGCGTCCGCGCCGCCGCCGGGCGCATGCACAGGCGAGAAAGTGGACACGAGAGTGCCGTCCGACGACACAAACGGCCAAACGTGACGGCGAACGGGTTCCGGGGTGCGCGGGAACGTACAGGCGCCTGCAAGGCTGAACGGCAGTCGCGGTTTCCAGCGCGGCGCGCCCGCGCCGATCGGTGCCCAACGACGCGGCGCCCGTCGCAGCCCGGGATAGTCTCGGCGATCGCTGGTCTCGACATCCCGGATAAGTGCCGAACTCTGCTCGAGTTGTGGGACTGGAAGCGGCCGCCACAGAGCCCGGCTCACACACGTGCTGCTGTTACGCCGCTGTACGACACAGCGGACAATGACAGCAAGCTCAAGGGCAAAGACAAAGAGCACGATGTGGGCGTTAAGACAAAGGAGACAAGACAGCTGTCATGACCATCGGTCGTTGACGTGCTTGGGTATTGTAGAAACGTGCTCCTGCCGACAGCTCACAAAACGACCCAGTTCGAAAAGCAAATACCATGGATTAACTGATAGCGTGGATTCCTGTCCTGTTTACTAAACTTAGCCTTAGCACACGAACACGGCTCCTGATTCCGGGTTGTATCTCAGGTAGCAAACCTCTATGCTTGGCCTACCCACACGAAAAACCACTTGCGCCAACATAGCGCCGCGCGCCACCTTCGCCCCACGTGACCGGCACCCGGTCGGTCACTAACCCACATAACGATAAGCGAACAGGCCGGCGGCGGCGCGGACCGGAGCCCGGCCGGATGTCGACCCGAGCCCCCAGCCCCGACACCAGGCACGGCCGGAGAGCGAATCGGTGCCGGCAGGTGGCTCGTGGCCAAGCACGGCCGCCCGCGCCACGCTCCGGTCAACGGCGTACTCGGCTGGCGGGGGAGAGGCCGGCCGGGGAGAGGCCGGATGGGTGAGGAGGGTGTGCGGGGGGAGGAGGACAGAGTGGGCCAAAGCTCCGCACACGGGCGTGGTGCGACTCGAGGCCGCGCCGGTCTCGGTCGGCCCGGAGATCTGCGATAGGGGTGGGACATCGATGTGTGACGCGCCCGGCGCCACCGCTGATTATCTGTGACAAGAGCCGACGAGTGATATCTTTGGCATTGTTGTCAATGACAGGCAGGCGATTCGGAACGGCGAGGATTAATCACGGGCGCCTCCGGTCAAAGCGAACTATCGCAGACACTCGAAATGAGCTCATGAGGCATTCCCCATCATAAAGGATTATCACAGACCCCGCTTAACATGTGCTTGCTGTGCGCACACCCCGGGGCGGGCATAATGCTCGCCGAACACCACATTCGACTTAGGTAAAACAAAAATGTTTCGACGAAACAGAGAGCGGTGGGGAATAGGTCGGTTCACACAGGCGAGCTATCTCTCCGGGCTAACGTGGCTGAGTCTCGATCCAAGACCAGCACGGGCAAACGAAGTCCACCCAAGGGCGAGCACAACGTGCCCAGTTCCACCCAAGGGCGAGCACAACGTGCCAGGTTCCACCCAAGGGTGAGCACAACGTGCCAGGTTCCACCCAAGGGCGAGCACAACGTGCCCAGGTTCCACCCAAGGGCGAGCACAACGTGCCCAGGTTCCACCCAATGGCGAGCACAACGTGCCCAGGTTCCACCCAAGGGCGAGCACAACGTGCCCAGGTTCCACCCCATCGGCTCTCGAGATCGGCAGTGTCTATATCTGTAGTAAAAACCCGAGCCCAGTGACATCACCCACTGAAATAACACCGCCAGAAGCACAACGATGCACGACCAGAAACGCGGGCGTGCTGCCAACCTCACAGCACACCGCACCTCCGCACCCAGGAGCTCTCGCACTTTTCCAGTCCGGCACCCAGCCCCACCGAGCCCGTGCCAGCACCAGGCTACTATCTGCGCGTCAGCTGCGCTACTTACTATTTGAAGTTGATCCGCACATGCTGCACACCCATGGTGGCCGTCGGGTGAGATCTAGCGATCAGCGCGGCACCGCCCGGGACAGCCAGCTCACAGCACCTCGCACATGCCCCGCTCCGACCTGGCAGCCCGTCTGCGCCGACACTGGAGTGGAGCTGTCACTCTCCGACCCGCCCCGCTCGGCTCACCTGCGCCAACTGACGGCTGCTCTCTCCCGACCGCCGCTGCCGCCGCTGCCGCCGCCGCCGCGCCGCCAGCGCCGCCGCGCCGGCCGCCTAGTTTGGGCATCGGCGGCCGGCCGGCCGGCGGACGGCTGGCAGGCGGCCGGCGCGCGGCTGCGTGGCGGCCGCGGCAGACGGACGGGCGCCGCGCGCGCTGTCGCCGCCGCCGTCGCCGTCCGGTCGGACAGCGCCGCTGACAGCAGTGGTCAGTGGTTGCCGCTCTGCAGGGACCATCGCGCGCGGGCGCCGTCACGGGCGGCGGCGGCGGCGGCGGCGCTGGACCAGGTCACGCACCTTTTAGGGCCTGGCTGCATGCGGCCTCCGTTGAGGCCGGAGCCAGGTGCGGGGCATTCCGCGCCATATTCAGGTACCGACACCGGCCGTCCTTACGCCGGTCGGCAGCGCCGGCCGCGGCCAACACAAACAGCGGCGCACGGCGGCCGGTTGCAAGGGTCGGCGGGTCACGCCGGTCGCCGCGGGGCACGGTCGGCGGCGCGCGGCGCCCCGAGGTCACGGGGTCAGAGCGCAGTCGGCGCCGCGGCCCATTGCCGCCCTTGGCAGCCCGCGAGCGGCGCCGCTCGTCGACTGGGGCGGTGGAGCGACGCGGCGGCGGCGGTGGTCGACCGTGCAGGATGTGCGACACCTTAAGGCGGGTCAGCGTCGGCTCTGCCGATGGTCGACGCCAGGCCAGTGTTGGGCCGGCGTCGGGCACGCGCAGGAGCCATGTTGGGCAGGTGTCGGGCTGCCGTGGGGCCCACGTCGGGCACATGCAGGGGCGGTGTTGGGCAGGTGTCGGGCTGGCGTCGGGCCCACGTCGGGCCCACGCCAGGCCGCACGATGGGCCCTTGGAGCGCTGTAAGCCGGCGCTCTTCGGCGAACAGTGCGAACGAGTCGGTTGAAAGGCCCACGTTGGAGGAGGTGTAATCAGAGGGCTGGTGCAACGTCCAAGTTCCATTTGCAAGCGTCCACACCCGGAAGAAGTTGGCGGCTGCCGAGTTTACTGCGACCCTGAGATAATCATATTAGGGCGGCCGGTCGCGGAACCAAGACGCCCTGGGACATACATTTCCCACATCGTTTCTAGGTACAACAGAAGCTCCTCTTTTGGCTTACCGCCTTCCGGCACCCACGCCTTACAGAGAAGATCAAAGACCACGCCCAAACATTGCTCAATCGTTGCTTGGAAAGTGGGCCGCCTCACTGCAGAAGTATGCGCTGTACCGTGTCAGGACACCCACTCGGCACTGAGCGGCAATCAACACCTCGTCCCCAGGCACTGCACGGTACGACCCGTGCACCCTTCAGATGCACGAGCACGAGGGACCCTCCGGCACGTGCGATCTACCGCCACGTCACCGCGTGTCGGCCCAAACGGAGACGTGGCGTCAACGTCCGACGCCGAGGAACGCCTTGTGGATCCCCAACCTTCCCGAAGACAACCGCGGCCTCTCCCCATCCACGGATGACGTCTCCCGGAGGCTGCCTTTGACGTCACTGCTGACGTCATACCCGGGGACCCAGGGCCGGGCGACCTTCGGTCGCGCTGCGGCGGCCAGCTACCCCGTTACTCCCGGCACCAAATGGGACGCAGCGGGTGGCGCGGCGCCAAATTTGGCGCTCGTGCTGGCCGTCCGTCCGCACGTCCCCAGCCGCGCCGCCGCTCAGGCGTGAGAGGAGCGCGCGCGCAACACGGCTCGGTTTGGAGCCGGGCCAAGCCGAGCCGAGCCAGAGCCGGAGCCAGAGCCAGAGCAGGAGCCGGAGCCGGAGCCGGAGCCGGAGCCGGAGCGGGAGCGGGTGCTGGAGACCTTGCCGGAGCCGGAGCCGGAGATGGAGCGGGTGCTGAAGCCCTTGTCGGAGGAGATGGAGATGGAGCCGGAGCCGGAGCCGGAGCCGGAGCGGTTGCTGGAGCCCTTGTCGGAGCCGGAGCCGGAGCCGGTGCTTGAGACCTTGCCGGAGCGGGAGCCGGAGCCCGAGCCGGAGCCGACACGCGGCGGCGCGCTTCAGCGCTCGGCTGAGCTTCCCGGCACGCTTGTAGCCGCACCGGGCATTGCTGTGGCAGCACGCCAAATATGCTACCGGTGCGGTTCAGCCGAGCACAGCGCCACTTCACCGAATGCTAATATTAGCCGTGAGTGACTCCATATGCTGCAAGTCCCAGAAATGGAACACAACGCGTCGCATCGTCACAGGGTACGTCCACTGCGCAGCGGTGCCCAAATGACGCGGTCGCCCGTACGTGCGTACGTGGACCGGACCATGGGTTGCCGTAGAGATCACACCTATCAGGAAACAGATCGGACCGATGGCGCGTCGTCCCCGCAGACGCGTCACGCTGCGATTAAATACTTTACATTCACACGCAAACGTCCCGCCAGCTGTTATCGCCGCTCTCGCAGCTCTCGTCGCGTAGCGTCACGTGTGTTTATGAAGAGTCCATCGGTCAGACGATACCGCCGACGCGCATCACCTGTGCGGCGTACACTAGTCAAACATCCGCATGAGTAATACATTACACACACGGTGCAGTATTGCGTCCTCCCTCGCTCCACAGAACAGACAGGACACAACTGCGCCTTCAGGGGCCAGGGCTGCGGGTAACTACGCGTAGCACGTGCGTGTAGAGCTACGCTCACTCCCATACCGGGGTGGTCGCCACACATGAAGCGTGCGTACAGGTGTGCGCTTGCTCCGCAGCCGCACTTTGCGGAGCCGCGTATGGCCAGCCAGCACGGAGCGCACGGCGCGCGCGCTGCTCCACCGTTGCACAATCGCACGGCGCACAGCCATCGCGCACGGCTCGCATGCACGGCGCGCCGCGTGCACGCGCGTCGCATGTGTCGTGCGCGTGTCGCGCCGCGCCCGCGCCGCCGTCTGGCTGCGTGCGGGCCGGGCCAGATGGCCGCCCCGTCCGCTCCCACTGACAGATCGGCGCCGGGCGGCAGCACCGCTAGCGCCGCTGTAACTGCGCCGCCGGGCCGCAGCGCGTCCCGCGCGCCCAACGCCCGCGTGGCGTCCCCTCCTGCACCAGGACCGGGCATCGCAAACCCTCGCACCCGGCACTAAGTCACATGGCATGATACGCTCGCATCACTGTGCACCCCACACCCACATCGCGGTGCACCCCATACACACGCCACAGTGTACCCCGGCACTCACACAAGGAAGAACCTAAGCCTAATGCCACCACGCACGAAAACCCCGCGCGCCGGCGCATCCCACATCCACGCCTTCGAACACCCAGCAGCCCCGCCCGGGTGCACCATGCGCCCACGCCGCCGCCCGCCGCGCCCCACGCTGACGGAGCGGGGCGGGGCGGGGCGGGGCGGGACCGGGCGGGTGGCCGGCCAGCGCGGGCCGCGTCTGCCAGCCGGCGTCACGGTCCCGTTGCGTGCATGCGTGAGTGCACACTTGTGCAACGCGCCACGGCGGCCGGGCACGCGCGCATCACCGCGTGTCGTGAGCATGAGCCGCGGCGCCACGCGAGCCCTGCCCATGTCATCTACTGAAGGCGCTCGGCCGCAATTTGTATCACGCTTACGGCAGGTGTATTAATTGGATGTCATTATGAGTCGATACGTGAACAAATAAGCAGATGACAAAAAAGTGATTCCATCCATCAAACTGTGGGCTTGGTGCGAGCGCGGCGTTCGGTTACACATCGGCACGCGCGGGAGCTCCCGTGTCCAGGGCGCTCCTGCTCCTGCGCATGTATGCACGGGACAGTCGGCGTCTCCTAGTATCTGGACGTTATCTCCGCATTAGTGATCACGCACACTACGCTGTATCGTGTGAAAATGTGCAGTCGTATACCCGCGAGCGCGTGCCTCCGCTCCCAGATGCCGGCCGCGGAGAAACGCCGGCGACGCGCACAACACTCACGGACTGGGCGGAGTGACGTCATCGGTGTCCTCGGACTCGCTGACCGTGGCGTCCTGCAACGGAGGGGGGCGGGACGTCAGCAGAGGCGTCGGCGCTAGGCCGGACGGAAGGAGGGCCATGGCGGCGGCGATAGGCCGCGCGGAAGCAGCGCCGCGGCGCCGCCGTCTGATCCCGGCCGCCGCCGCACGAGATAGGGCGCCGGAGGAAGCGCGAGCTCGGCGTGCGGTCAGTGTGCTGTGGCGGAGCGGGACGGACGCTCTCCGCCCCCCCCCCCCCACACCCACACCAGGCCGGCTGCTCCTCGACGCTACCTACTCGTCCCGTATTTTGCACGGTGTTCGGCATCTTTTCATAGAAATATGAATGATGTTTTTCATGCATCTTTCATCATCATGAATGATGTTTTTCATGCATTTTTCGTCATCACGAATGATGTTTTTCATCATCTTACATTTTTTAATGCAAACAAAAAGGTGGATAATGGGCCGCAACGAACACAGCAAGCCAGCGTTCGCAGAGGCAGTTTGGCTTAAATGGGGCAGTCGGCTGCGCCTGCAACACCAAACAAGGCGAGCCCACGCGACTACTGCCATTTCGACCGGACCTCGGGGAGGGGGGGGGGGGGGGCGCCTGGCCGCGCGATCGGCACACACGATAGCCCCCGATCAGCGCCACGTCACAGCGTTCGAACCCGTCCTCCCGCTGGCGCGCCGCGTCTCCCGGGCCGCGGACGGCGCCGCCAGACCGGCCGTCGCCGGCGCCCTGCGGCCGGCGCCCTGGCCCCGGGCCCGATCCAGCCGCTTGTTTTGAATGGTCCGACACGTTGGCAGCACCCCCGCCGCCGCCGCCGCCGCCGCCGGGAGCCGCCAAGTCGGCTGATGGCATCGTGGCCGCCCCAAAAGGCTGGCCAGCCGGGCCTCTGACGTATTTGTCGCGCCGCGCGCGGTCGGATCCGGGAGCCGAGCGCGGCCGCGCCGACCGGTGAGCTCGTGAGCTCATGATCAGCTGCAGGCGACGCGGGGGCGGCCGGGCCCGGGCCGACCGGCCCAATCCGCCAGCACGGCCGCTGACGGCGCAACCTTTCCAAACAAGGAAAACCGGCCAAAAATGTCGCTAAACCGGCGTCGGCGGAACCTGTGAAAAAATGTGGGCACTGGAGAGCTCGCCGAGCCGGCGAGCGTGCTTTTTTGGAGCGTTGAGCCACATGACGACCTGGGAGAACGCGGCGAGTGCGGAATGTCGTGGGCGTAACAGGACAGGTCCAGTACCGGCGCCGGCAGACAGCGTGGGCCGACCTGAGCCATGAGGTCACGACCGAGGGATCTCAGCACCACAGACGAGTCACATACGGCTGATGTCACTTGGGCGTTCCAATCGTGAGCCGTTAGTGCAAATTATGGAGGTAAACTGAGTTGGCAAATGGTTTGTGTACGGGCAGTCGCCGTGCAATTCATGCGGTAGAAGTATCTGCACTTATGCTGGGCACTGTGCGGTGACTGGCTTGCAGTGATGGAAGAGACCTTTCCAACAGCCTCGGCAGTGTGACCCGGATCTGAAGTGAATTCAGTTCCACACAAGGTCCACAGGCCCCCTGCTCAAATAAAAAAACACTGATGTAGGGGGGGGGGGACTCGACTCTACAAAAGGAAATCAATGCACTCGCTGGTCTCCAGTATCCCATGCTTGCGAGTAACAGCCTCGTGGTATTCATCCGCTCCTTAGTCCAAGGCTCATGGGTTTCTTTGGTGATACTAGACCACCGCCGTTCCGTCTACCTCTCTCCTCTGCAGGGGACCGCGGCTCTCGCGACCAACACCAGTACCTCAGCGCCCACAAGGCCCAGTCACCCGGCGTGGCGCAGACAGCACGTGGGGTGCGCTGCCCGCCACTCTGGCCCCCGGCCTGCTGCCAGCGCGCGCGACCCATTTCCACCGGGCTGCCCCCGCGGCACGGTGACGTCCGACAAGGACGGGAGCTCCGCCGTCGGCACACGCGGCGCCCGTGCAAGGTCAGCTCTCCCTCTCTCTCTCCCTGCGGACCGTGTTTGGCGATTGCGACCCGTGCGGCAATATTCACAAGCACTCAGAGCCCGCGCGGCACAATGACGCGACACAAAAGCCGGCGACGTTTGGCGCGCGGCGGCTGCGGGCGGCTGGGCATACGCCGCAGCGCTGGCGTTTCAATCGCGGGCACGGGGCGCGCGAGACGGTCCCGGCGACCTTATTTGGCGCGGACGATTCAATGAGCAAGTGGCCAAACTGGCGGGCGGTGTTCACACGCCACGCCGGCCGGACGCGAGAGCGTGAGTGTCGATTCGGTAAGGCCAAACCGCTTCGGAGCTTGCAGAGCCAACGATACGCGCGGCCGGCACAATTCACACCGGCCAACAGTCCGAAACGCCGCGCTTTGTAGCGCGCCACGAGTCTCGATAAATTCGGACAAAGGACCGACCCATTCCGCTCGCCAACCAAACCGAGATCTTAGCAAAGTCCCAGTTTCCCAAGCGTTGCGCAATCCTGCGCGCAACGCGCGCCGCTTTAGCAACCGTCGGCCCGTGAGGCGAGGTCGCGGCGCAGCGCGGCGCGTTCCGGCGCGCGCGCGCAGCCCGCTACTCGGTCGGAACGGCGCACCGTTCGGTAAACACGGCCGGGCGCCGACAAACAAGGCGCGGGCTGCCGCCGGCAGCCGCGCGCTGCGGCACAGCGCGCCGGCCAGGCGGCAGCGGTGCCGACGCGGCCCCGTTCCCGGAGGCAGCTGAAACAAAAAGCCGGCAGCGCCGCCCGGGCCGACGGCACATCCGCCGCTTATTGTCCGCCCGTCCACCAGCCCGCATGCGTGGAATAGGTGGAACGTGGTGCACGGCAGGGCCGAGCCCAGCCCTCCCAGCACTGGAGGCTCCAGTAACATTTTGACTCGTTTGCCTCCACGCACAAACGTTACGCCTGTTAAATGACTACGCTTTACGGCCACAGCTTCTCAGCTATCACTCCCGTTTTTCGCGGCGTTTGCGACCAGTCCCCAAGGTCTGGGCACGACGCACTCCAGATGTCGCCGGGCCGCACATGACCGGCGCCGGAGGTTGCGTCAGTAATGACCTTAGCTGTCGCACGCGCGGATAAACGATCCGGAGATGATTTCTAGAAATCACCAACATGTGGCCTCTGATTTCTTTATGGCGGCGGTAATGGCTGAATGGCGGCGGGATACGCAAATGGCGTGGCCCTCGAATGCCATAACACTTATCTCTGCGGTGGCGCTGCGCCGTCGCTGGGCCCGATGACCCGATCGAAGCCGGCGCCGGCTGCCGAGCGTCTGCAGCGGGCCGGCAAGGCACCGGTCGCAGCCGACCGTGACTGCGTTCTCGAGTGGCGATAGCAAAACGTAACGGTCTCCCGACAGGAGGCTGGCAATGAAGCGCGCCGCGTCCAAACAAGGCAGCGGGCTTCACAAAGCCGACAGCGGTCGCGCGGGCGGCGGCACGTGAAGGCGACGAGGCGCGGCGCGGCGCGGCGCTGGCGCATCGGCGCCGGGTGTGAAGCGCTGCTCAGGCGCCCGTGGCGCGCGTAGCTGTACTCTCGCCGCAGGTGACGTCGCTCGACACGGCATCGACGCCGCGCCCGACTAACCACCCGGCCGGCTCTGGGCCAGTGGCGCAGCGGCGCGAAGGTCAACGGGCGCGACCGCCGCCTGCGCGCGCGCGCGTCTCCGGCACCGACGGCTCACCTGTGAGGCGCTCTCGCCAGTGCGAAGCTCCCACCGGAGCGGGTGGTCTGGCCGACCGCCCGGCCAGTAGCAGCCAGCTTCACACAAAGAAGACAGCGCAGCCGACCTGGACGCGTGTCCGTGGCTGACCTGAACGCGCGGAAAACGCGAGCACCGCGTCACAGGGTCGGCTCCGTGGTCCCCGTCGCAGGACGCCCGTTTTTCGGTGCACCGGTCGCTCAGGAGCGGCCTCCGGGGACTTCCCTGAGGCGCGGCCGCCGCCACAATGGCCGGGCGTGTCGCTGCCGGCCCGCCGGCCGACAGGCTGCAGCTGGCACACAGACCGGGCGACGCCGCCCCAGCCGGGCATGCAGACCACGTCTGCGTCGCGTCCGCCGCAGCCGGCCGGCGGCGGCAGACGCGGCTCTCGGCTGTGGAGTGGCTGTTGTTCCGACCGAGCGCTGGTCCGAGGAAGGGCAATTGCTGCCGTGTTATCCTCGAGACTAGGAAGAAGACCGGCAGAAGACGACAGTGGACTGGAGGATCCGAGCGCGGAGAGGTCGGGGCAGCCGCCGTACTGTGGTGACCAGAGCGACACGGCGCGGCCGTGGGGCCACTCCTGGACAGATTGACGGAGCGCCCTGCCGTTGCGACGGCGTTTATGACAGGACTTTGGAACCATAACTCCACTGACCATGAGTCCCCTCCCCAAGGCGTGACGTGGCTGGGACCTATATGTTACCGTTGAGGTGCATGTGAAGCGGCTTCACACGAAGGGCTTGAAATCCGAAGCCACAAGAAGAGAGCCTGGCAAAAGGAGGCAGACACGGGTCGGTGTCTGAGGAGGCAGACACTGAACCTTGTCTGAGGCGGCAGACGCTGAACCGTGTTTGAGGAGGCAGACGCCGACCCGTGTTTGAGGAGGCAGACACCGACCCGTGTCTGAGGCGGCAGACACTGAACCGTGTCTGAGGAGGCAGACGCCGACCCGTGTCTGAGGAGGCAGACACCGACCCGTGTCTGAGGAGACAGACACCGACCCGTGTCGGCCGTGAAGCGATCCCGCAATCACCGCTCAGCCACGACCACGCCGCTGCGTTTCCAAACAACCGGTCCGATTACCGGCGCGCGGGCGGCGGCGGCGGCGGCGACGCTCTGGGTCGAAAGGTCAGGCCTGCACGGCCGGCCGGCCATGCGCAGCCGCCGAGCGCGGGTCGGCCCGCCTCCGGAGAGGCGCGGCAGATCGCGACCGCCGGGTCACGGCGCACGCACACGGGCCGACGCCGGGGCGCCGCAGCGGGCCCGGGCTCCCACGCCAGGCCGGGCGCGCCAGCCGCCGACGCTCGCTTCC